GACACCAGTTTACTCCGCTGTCCCCGACTGGTGTACTGGCTGGAGTAAACTGGTGTCGTATCTTGTCCGGCCTCACTTGTACACCATAGACTAACCCAGAAGGTAAAGTGTGTCAATGAAGTTGAGATGATTGGTATTGCATCATGTCTAAGTGGTTTCAAGCTTACCTCAGCAATTTGAAGATTGCTTGTTGAAAAAACTGCACATGGCACTTCACATGGTAGAGTACAAGTAGCAACAGAAAGTTCATTTCACCCTTGGGGCCAAACTTGTTACTATGTGGGTGTATCACATATGTGGTTGTGATGTTTGTGGCCACAAGATTGACATGGACTTTCTGCTTCTACTTGTACAGTTCACTCCAAGTGGTTAAGTAATCCTCAATGACCCACTTACTGTTGTCTATTCTGATGATATACCTCTCAATCTATCAACACCAATGATCAAAGTTGAAAGGAAAAAAACTTCATTCTAAGGATTTGGATTTGGTTTTGGGATTTTCTGTGCTTGAAAATAAAAGCTATGGCAAAAGCAGTATGGTACCAAGTCTGGGTATCAGTTGAACCCAATAGTTACAAATCCTGGTGTGGGGATGTGTACAATGTGATCCTGCCAGATCATGTCTGCCCTTCATACCCCATGCAACCAAGACATTTTCACACATGCAAGTTACTACATTGCAAATATTTTGTCTCAGAGGACACATCCTGACCAAACTTAGAAACAAATATTACAATGGAAAGGAACAATGTAGGTTCTATGTACATACTAACCAATCTTCTTCCAATCAAGTTTCATCAAATTGACCTTTATTAATCTTATTTCTCTACTTTCTTATTCCTCAAGTCTCCCTTGCCATTCTTACTACAGATGTATATACCCTTTAATCTGTATTTTCATCTAATTCTACTCTTTCATCTGTTTTGTATCTCTCTAATATCAAGCTCAAACCTTGATAAATTGTGTGATTATCCTTTCTCATTCTTATCTTTCACAAAATTTAATGTCTCTATCAAGATCTTGGTTTCTATTTTTGGTCACTCACAAAATGCCTTGAAATCTGATCAATTCAAAGTCCAACTTGATCTATCTGAAGTGTTTATAGTAACTGGCTCAAATCACAAGTTGACATTTGAATGAATGCTAGACCTCCCCTTGATTTGATTGCACATTGATATTGATTTGACAAACCAGCTACAACGCTTGGCACAAATCTCCATCAAAACCATGCCTCATACTCCTCAATATCAATAGGACAAGTCTCATGAGGAGGTACTAGATATCATACTTGTTTAGTTCTTTTAGTGTTTGAAGACAAAAGTAGGACTGTGCCCTGCCGTCACAATTCACACCAACCCACAAGGTTGGATCATGAGTTTTAGCAGAGAGAAATAGGTAGGGAATTGCAGAGGCAGGCTTCAGGAAACCTGAGAAAAACCAGGGCCACTGAGGAAGACACCCAGATAAAAGCCATGTACAGGATCCCACCAAGACCCAAGTACTCCAAGTATGATAAAAATATATATTCTTAAATGCAGATTATCAAGATCTCATGACATTTTAAGAATACAGACAATCATCCAGGGCCTGCCATTTGTTTTAATTTTTTATCTCTACCTCTTACTCTCCTATCATGAGCCAATTTATTACTACTATTCTTACCTCTTCCTCTTCCCCTACCTCTTCCACCATCTCCATCTCCACCTCCACCTCCACCCCCTCCTCTCCCTCTTCCACCGTTTCCTCTACCACCTCTGCCACCTCTGCCACCACCTCCTCTATTAGAAGTTTTCGCACCTTGATCTTGATCCTGATGTTGATGAGATGGTCCAGATTCTGTTTCGGTTGATTCATCATTTTGAAAAGATTGACTTTCACTCCTAAACGCATACCTACTTAGGATCTTATCCTTTTCAGGCTATTGCTCAAAACAAATTTTCATCAAAACATATTCAAGAAAATCTTTTCTTCTTCTGAGACATTCCACCCAAAAAAGGTGATGAATACAAGAAAAAAAAAGAATCACTCACATTACGCTCAAACATTATTCTCCAACTTTCTAATAAATCATCAGCTACAATCCCACCTTCTAATTTCTCCTTCAACCGATTCCTTGGCTGACTTCCACGTGATGATCGATTAAAGACTTCAGGATTCTCTAAATAAGCTTTGTATAAGATAGGTTGATTTGCTCGATGACTTAGGATATTTCCATTCGTGTTGGTCGTCAGTATAGGGCTTTCATTCTTGGATTGAATTGGAGCTTCTTCTTCCTCATCTGATTCATCTTCGACTCCTTCTCTTAATGCTCTTGATCCCACTTTTGTCGGTAAGAAAGCTTCATCATCATCAGAGAAGATATCAATCATAACCTGATTTTTTCCTCCTGGTTCATCTCCATCTGAATCGCCGAGAATTATCAAGGGGGCTCTTTGATCTGTTTCGTCCTCTTCTTCTTCATCTGATGTGACTGCTTCTGCTCTAGCTTTGATCTTGGCTCGAACTTCATCTGTCAAGTGTGATTTGTCATCCATGATCGAATTTTCATTCAATCTAAACAAATCCCGAAGAAACATTAGCATCAAATCTTCAAATTCTGGGCGAGTAGGATATTTTTGATTGTAGGAAAGAATTCAACGAACCTGTTCTTGCCTGTTCTTAACAAACTAGGATCAAGTTGATGATCATCAAATATATTCTTCCTTGACTCTAAGATCTCTGATAACTGATGATCTTCTTCAACTTGTAATTCATGAGGTCTACCAGAAAGGTGATCATCAATAAATCGAGCAGGACCTTCTATTTCATCTTGATATTCTATTCTACGCTCTACATCCAAGATAACCATCTCTCGATCGATTTCAGGTAAGACAGATAAGATTTGATCAATTATTTTCGAATACTCAGAATCCATTTCGATAGATACTTTTGATTTGTTTTGATGTTTTGAACATTTTGGATTCGTATTCTCAAGTATACTGATCATTTCGGTAAGTTTATTCACTCCTTCGGATGGAAGTCGAAGTGTATTAGAAAAAGATAAAATAAGATGATAAATACTAGGAACATGATCTAATAAATCATGTAAAAATCGATTGTATTGATTATTTTGAATAGAACTTTTTGCATTTGGATAACATAGGATTTCATAAAGTCGTTCAATTAAATAAAGAGGTTCAGAAGCCGGTGAAATTAAGCGTAATCTAATTAAGATATCTGATTCTAATAAATTAAAAACTATCAAGATTATATTGTATCTTGAAAAATCGGATAAAGTGGTTTTGCTTAGATTACTTCGAGGATTCGAATTGTATAGATTGATTAACTTTTTGAGAATCTGATCTGATCTTTGAGCAATTGATTTGATTAGAGGTGGTGAGGATTGACTGATGAGACATAAGGTAAGTAAGACGCGTTCAAGTGCATGATATTTTTCGATATTGGGTATGCTCTCTATCAAATCATCGACAAATCCATTCAATTCACGTTCCCAACCTCTATTATCATCATGATGAGCAGCAAAGCTCAAGACATGTTGAACAATGTCTTTGTTATGTTGAGTATAGAGTATGATAAAAGATGGCCATGAGATAGTTTGAAGTGGGATTCCTTGTTCAGTGAATCTTTTGATGATTATCAACGTTCTTTTTCGAAGTTCAGGATGTGATTGACTGAGACAAAGCTGAAGTGATGAGTGAATGCAAGAATGTAACTGCTGAGTTGGTACAGTTTGATCTTGATTCGATTTTGATGAGATCCAGAGCTTCTGGAATAGTTCTTTGAAACCAATTGGAGGGTTTGACATGAATTTGGTTTTGTTTTGTTTTGTTTTGAGTGGAGTGGAGTGGAGTTGATGGTGATGATGGCCAGGTGCTGCTTGATGGAATTGGAGAGTACTGGTAAAGTAGTGATGTCACAGCGCACACCCTGTCACACACTGTGGAACGATGTCACAATGCTTAACTCAGTCTCTGGCTATCACCGCACTGTCACAGTCTTGTATGATTCACTCAGTGTGAATTGGCATTTGGTACAGTCTCAAACTTCACTCAAGTCAACTTCTTTGTCATTTTGAAAATCACAAATCACAACTTCTTTATCAAAGATTTGATTCAACTAGTATCCATATCACTGTTGTTGAAACTTCAAAGATCTGATTTTTTAATGAAAATGATTTTTCAAGACAACCTTAAATATATAAATAAATGCCTTACAATTCATAAGCATGCTAAACTTTGATCAAATAATGAATAAAACAAAATCAACAATAAACAAAAGCAAATTCGTTTTGCCATCACAGCACTATGTCACTCCTGCAATCACGCTCTCTTGATATTGGTAGATCTAAGAGATAATGTTGATCAAAAGAAAGAAGAATCGAGAAACGATGAGTCAAATGAAAAAGGGTATTGATTAGAATAGATACATTGCTCTAAAGAGATTAAGATGTGTACAAAGGAGAGTAATGTACTTTTGATTTGTTTTGATTTACTAAGAGCTTATACTAAAAATGAGAGGTTATTAGTCGAGTATTGAAGATTTATAATATATATTGTCATAGACGAGTCTTGAGGAAGAATAGAAAAAAATTGGAATGCTTGCAGGGTGGAGGTTGCTAATTCAGAAGTTGATGATAGATTTGATGAAATGAAGGTGATCAAAGTATTGTGTAAGCCTAGTTCGGTCGTCCGCAAGACTTAAACGGAAAGATAAAGTGAGATCCAGATCTTGACTCTATGTATCCAGTTGGTCCTAGGATAATAAATAAAGACAACTTTAAGATGTCGAGTGGAGCGCAGTCAATCTACTTAGACTTCGAAACTTGGATTGAAAGCTTTTTCCACTCTTTCTACTCGCAGCATCGTCGTCTTCCTCCCTAGGTTTGAGGAAGATAGAGTTCTCCCAAACTGACATCATTGTTGGTCTAGGTGCCGAGCTCTTGTTAGTTTGAGATGATCGAATACTCAGATGAAGTGATTTAGCATCATGTGTGGTCACTAATTTCTCGGTGCGTTCTTTTTTCCTTTTGGCACTTTGGAGGCGTTGCGTCACAGGTCCAGATGAGGGAACATAGGCATTCGAGAATAAGACGTCGATGAGCTCGTCTGCAACTTGTAAAGTAGTCTCGTGCTGGTGTGATTTAAAAGGTCGCGCACGATGACCTGAAGAATGACTCGAACGTTCGCCCATATGATATGTAGATGGTGATATTTGAACTTTCTTTAGGGCGCCCGATGGGTTATGGTAGCTTGAATTGGATGACAGAATGGAAGAGTCGGGTGAGCCGGAGCTAGATTTGGCAATGCTATAAACTGTGGGAAGTTGGTACAAAACGTCAGGTTCAGGCTTCATCTTTACGACCCTAAGTATACTAAAGTAGAAGATAAGGACTGACCTGATTTAGCATCCTCATGTGGAGAATGTGCGTGATCCGAAATGGGCGATCCGGCAGCAGACCTACATCAGATCAACACCTTAATCAGCTAGATTGAACATCGGAATGAAGGATAAAGTTGAAAGGGGATATGTTGTACGTTTTATAAGATGTAGCCCCACTGAGGTAGTCCATCTGGATCTGTAGCTTCAAGCTAGCATTTGTCCTACACTCTTGCAGTAGAAATTTAGTTTTCTCAACTCTTCTCTTTTTCTGAGCTTCAAGCTCATGTTCGCCAATTATCACCTGCTCCTTAACATCCTGAGCCATAAAAGGTGTAAATCTACTCAAATCAATCGCGACTGTGCCGTGCCTGGAGACTTCTCTTCTTCCGTCTTCTCCAACATGCTCTTGCTTCACCACAATCGTCAATATACTAGGCTGGAGTCTACCTTCTTTTGTCACTGCGATCGAGACGGGACATCGAAAGGCTTGCCGGAAAACAGCCGAGTGATTCTTAACGTCAACATAGGGAGTTGAGCCAGATGACTCAGCTTTGCATGGCGCTTCGATCATTTGAGAGTTTGGGGTTGTAGGATTTGGGTTGTATCCTGGCCTAGGTGTCACCGAGTTGAGCTTGTAACCATCCTCTGATCCAAAAATCGAGTTGTTCAAGGTAGGAGTTGCGTCGGGAGTGATGATAGAAGGAGACCCAAATCTACTGTGAGCCGAGTCTTTGAAAGTATATGTAGTTCCTGGGGCATTACTACCTGGCATTTCGTGAGCACCCAAATCAGTCACGTATCCCGGTTGAGGATCATTAGATGGGTAGTGGCTGGGGAGATAAGTTGATTGGGTGAGAGAACGTCCCCGTCCCATGATGCTGGAGCGTGTGTTGGATAAGTCAGGCAGATTGGCTCCGGATGGACCAGCTTGGTAAGAATGATGAGCTGAACCCTCATCTTGCTGACTATTCTGAATGATACCAAAACTCGAATGATGGGGTTGGGAAGAGCGGAGTAAATTCTGAGGGAGATGAGACTCGTCGTCACTCATTGCCAAACGATGTGTAATGGTAGTGGCCACATGCTTGGCTTTCAATTGAGCTTCGAGGTGAACAGTAGTGATAGGGTGAGCGAATTTCCACTTGAGTTTGAATTTGCCATTTAGGAGAGGTACGTTCACTAGTTGGTCGACTGTAATAGTGCAATCGAAGTTCACCGTCCTATTGAGATTGAGAGCTCTCTGTAAGGCGTCCATTGGAAAACTTCACGTAAGACGAGCCAGGTAAAGTGAAGTGAAATCGAGCTGAATCTGCAAGCGATGGCGAATGATTGAAGTGTTGGTGCGATTCGTATCAAGTGAGAGGGGCGATTGAGAGACCAAAGAGTTGTGTATGTAGTGGGTTTTGTTCGGTGCGGCTGTTGACCAGGTTCGATAAAAGTGGCAAGGAAGGTTTTTGAAAACTTTAACTTGCGAAGTGTGTGTGTTATGTATTGTTGTACAGTCGAGGAACTGTTCACAGGTCAGGAAGAATTGGAAAAGCACTTGGGAAAAGCACTTGACCCGTTGAGTTAGTCGATTGCTAACGAGAATACTGACCCCTGGTGACGATAGAACCAGTGTAACTCAATCTGAGCCAGGCAAAGAGAGATATACAATCCTACAAAAACTACCGAGGAAGAAAATTAAAGAGACGTCGATCAAAGACGGAAGTTGGATCCTGAAGGTACACAATCGATGTAGGAACAATCAGTCAAGAGTATTTATATGTATGACTAACAATCACTATCAACGCGTCTTGGGTAGAACTACATAGGATTAGGATAGGAGAGATAGGAGAAAGGTCAAACCGTCAATGGTCATTGTCAAATTGATCAAGATGAGTACCAATTCATAATTTGAAAGGTTGATATTTGAAATTAAGGTGTGAACCAAGGCCCAAGACACCGAGTGTGATTTAATCCAAGAAAGTCTTGTAATTTACATAATTTCCTTTGTGTTTTTCTTTCTTTTGCTTTTGAGAAGTTTCAACTCTTTCCCTTCTAAAGTCGGCTGTGAAGCTACAACTCGAATGAGCTTCAGTTTGCGCTTCCAAAAATTTGTATCTCAATGAACCAGCTAATATAACCTATCAAACCCTGGCACAATAAAAACAACTCGTTCAGGTTATGTATCATAAGGCTTTGAGTCAACTCTTCAAGACCTGATGAGTCACTCGTGACTGACAGTGATACTCACCACCATATCCGTATTGCAGAAATCTGTAAAAAGTTTACCTTTCAAACATGCCTATGGATTTGTTGTGCACAGCCTTGAACATACAACTACAGAGACAATCTCTACCCACAACTTCAATAAAGCCATAGTTACCTTTCTGATTTGTGATTGGCATCGGAAAATTGTTCAAGTTGATGCTGCCGCTTGGACCCTCACCCCGTGAAAAGCGCCCCAGGAGCAGATGTGAAGATTGAGGCCCCTTGGATACTTTTTTTTTTCATGATTTCAATACTGCAACATCAAGTAACAATTTCAAACAGCCAGTTTTTTTCTTGTTGCTTTTTGGACGTCATTCACAGTCTGATTGAGGAATTTTAGGACCTCAACGATGGGCAGACATACCCCAATCCGAGATCTTGTCAAACTTTGTAATTATGCTCAATATCTTCTTTAAGAGGAGCAGCGAGATTTTACATCTTGATTCTCTTGTATCAAAACTATGCATAAGGAGACCCAACAAAATGACCTTGTCTGCACCACGAAGTTTGAGTAACCGAGAATAGGGGCCCACCCGGACGTCATTTAAGAGGATGCAGGCATGGTATCCGAGCTCATCAGCGAGTGCAAATTCAATTGGCTGGGACAGGCCCGGGCATTTGAGCTTTGAGGTTCAACGGAGGACGTCCGCTCAAGTCGGTTGTCCTGCAAGAAGCATTGACCATATTTTGGCCATCCGAGTGTCCTTGTGGTGATATACGCAGATCAGGTCCATGCATTCCCAAAAGGGCTCAGTGCGCAGCAGGAAACCCTAGAGACATCACATTCTGAATATGCTCTAGCCTCTCACTGATCGTCTGCGGTCTGCCTATGAAGGCATAATTCTATAAGTCCCCTCTTTCAGTGAGATCTGCATTATCAACTCGTGCCCTAATATTTTCAATTGGATAGGGATGATGGCTTGGCCTGCCAGGGAAGGACAGCTCCATGAGTCATGACAATATCGCTTTGAACATATTTTTCCGTCAAATTTCTCGACTTTTGTGGGGGAAGTGCGCAAGCTTTTTAAAATTGACTGATGCGGAGCTGTCAGAAGGGGGCTGTCCCTGACTCTCGGGAGAGATGCTTTGAGAGTGAATCGGAGGCTATCGGAGGTAATGCAGCCGATGTGTCAAGGTTCGAGCTTCATCTTCCTGCTCAGCACCGGGTAGGAAGGACTCCTACCGGCCCTTCGGCCAGACAAATTTGAACATTTTGCACAGCCACATAGATCTCAAAAAAATAAACGTTCTTCGAGATATTTGATGTCGCCGAGTGTTTTCACCCTTCACAAGCACGGTCGGTGCGGACGGAGTTAAAGAATGCTCGCACAAAGCTATAGAGCCATTAAGAGCCATTGGCACTCGGAGGAATACTACGAGGCTAGCTAAGGTAAGTTTCTGTTCGTGCCAAGTGATTGTGGAGCAGGCTGCAAAGATAGTCTCACCGAGTGTATGTATGTTACGGGATTTGAACCTCCGAGAACATGAAGTTGATCACATACGATGATAGAACTCCGCGCGGTACAATATGTTATAAAGCAGATGATTTCTTCAGCTTCTTTGTCCTTGTGATCTACATCAAAAACCTCATCATCTCAGCAGACCTCAGTGCTTCACACTACATAACCGCAAATTAATCAGTAATAATCATAATAATAATTTATTATCATGTCTGAACACAATGAACTCCGTCGATCTGTCTCCAGCGGGAGCGTCTACGATGATCAACTACCCAGTTTGCTCTTCGCAGCCCCATTTCCTCGACCGGTAAACCAGGATGCTGTGCGGGACTCCAGCCCTCCATTGTTACTTTTGTGTGTTTCAATGTACCTTCCACGGCAAAGTGGCGATAGTTGAAACTGATCATTGTTTGTCCCTGACATTCATCTAGTACGTTCCCTCGATCGGTATACGAGAAACCACCGATTGATCCATCAACAGGAAAGCCAGGCAAGGAGAAATTTGTTAAGAAGGCCGAGCGAGTTTGGCAACAAGAAGTCAAGGAAGGATATGAGATCAAGAGAGGGGAGCACGCAGAGGCGGGTTTCTGGAAGAGATTCAAAGGGGGTGCTGCTAGGGTGGGTCCTTTATCACTTTATGGGATCAACCTCAGCTTGGACTCATTCTTTTTTAATTACCATAGGTTGGTGACGGCGCACTCAAGTATATGGCCGATAATACGATGGAGACTTTGGGACGCTTGCCACCCAAACACAAACTTGGAACAGTTGAGTAACCCGTTAGTCACTAAATCAAAAGAAAATCGCATGTTAAAATCCAGTGGTTTAAAAACAGCTGAACGTAGTATATCCCGCCGCGAAAGATTCTTCACCCGCCTTGAATATACCCGGATATAATGAATTTGAGATGAAGGAAGCCTTTATAAAGATGCTCAAGACGGCCAAGACTCAAGCTACCAGAAAATCACTCATGTAGGTCAAACTTCATAAATATTATAGTACAAGCCAATGTTTACTGATCAGCTCCGATTGTACTTTGATCTTTCTAGCTCCGGTTGTTTGCTGCCAGTGACCTTCTTCATGTAAGAATATTCACATGCCCTTTCCAAGATTCGAATCATTCACTTATACCGAATTCTTGCTAATTCTTTCTGCTCTCTTTCGTCAAACTACACTACTTTGTTCAGTGATTTCTTTACCTTCATTCCAATGCCTCTTTTTGAGGTCAACATAGCGTATTTCGGCTTGCAAGCAAATGGTAAGGGCCTCTTTTTTCTAACCCTCACATTGCTTCAATTTCAAAATCTCGGATACATACCCTCTATCTACGCTCTCTAATATTCTATCCTCTCCTGTGCATCTCGACTTATTTGTCACCTTTCAGGAGCTCGAAAAGTGATGGCTTTGACTAGTGCAGAAAGCCAAGCTAAGAAAGGGAGTCAATCTGGAGAAGAAAAGAATGTTCCATCAACTAATGAACCGGTCTTCACGTTTGGACAAGCTGAACCTTTCACATTCACGAATATCCTGGAGTATCTTTATTTCCAATGCTCAAAGCTAGACAAGGAAAAGTTCCCACCGGTACTTGAATCAGCTCCAGAGGATTGGACTTTGGATACGAATGATGTTGAAGGCATCATAGCTGAATTTGAAGAATCTTTACCAGAAGAAGTCACAAAGCGACACTTACTCAATGCTGAAAGAGTAGCTGAAGATATTAGTCGAACTTTAACCAAAGCAGCTAAGGCATATGTCAAGTCACTCAAATGAACCCCAAGAGTTTATGAATCTTCACCTTGTCTTTAATAACGATTTTTCTGGTCTGATTTTCGTATAAATATCGTTTGTTTGTATATAACAACTGACATTACATGACCTAGTCATTCTGACATGGTTTTTAAAGCACATTTTCCCTTCCCATCTCCCCTTACGCTTTGTTTCTCGACAATCTAAAGTAGCTTACTATCATGTTTTATATTGCGCTTTTCTCAATCTTACCTCTTGGTCATTTTCCTGTCTGATTTCCTTATCATCCTTTCATATGTAAGAACGATGTTTTTTCATACCATTTTTGCAATTTCGAAATTCTTATTTCAACCATCTCTTTTTGAGGAATGAGATATACATCGGTTGTTATAGTCGGATAGGAAGTCTTGAGTGACGACTATCTGAGTTGATATAGTCTTAGACTAAATCGTAAGCGACCTGGGTTCTGGAAAATATCACCTTGATTCACGATTTGGATTGCGTACCAATTCCAATTTGCAAAAGTTTGAGAACAAAAGGTTAGAGTAGGAACGCTGTGATGGAACAGTGTGTGTTGAATTCATGTTTTATCACGTACACTAGCAACCATCCCACTCATCCAGATTGACAAACACTTGTTCTTTTGTTCTTTCCCGTTTGAGCCTCGTATCCACTCTTCCCAATGTGGTGAATGATACTCACAACTACCACTGTTTGCTTGACCTATGTCTAGAAAGATTCTGCACTATATAAAGAGCTCATGTTTGTGTGCTTCAGTTCACTCAAAATATCTTTCTCTTTTGTTTGTGCCACCTTATGACAGGTGCTTCACTCTTTATTCACTTATTAGTGAAGTCTAGCCATAGTGCTCTCCTATCATTGTTACGTGATTCTTTACCAGACACCTGCTGTTCCCTATTTTATCATGACACAGTTTATGAGCGCATACGGCTCCTTGCTGTGCGTGGATGTTATCTTGAATGATCCTTGCTCAAATATTGTAACCACATCTTTCGGATTGCTGCAAAATGTTTTACATCCTTTTCAAGCTTTGCAAGATTGCAGACTTTACATATAACATGTTTGTAAAAGTCCTCAATCCCATATTTTTTGGGTCATGTCTAGCATTTTAGGCCCCATTTGGGAGCGGTTATTTTACTGTGGTATTTTTGTAATTGCATCAAAAGTGCAGTGGTATGGTTTTGCCACATTTGGTACCTTTTGCTGCAGTATTAGGGGGTTTCAAGTCAAAAAGTGTATTTTGCAGTACAACAAGTTGTCCAAGACCGTAAAATTTCGCGTAAAATTTAAAAATCCAGGACACCTTTTTAGGTGTCCCAAACCATGCTGTGACCCGGCCCTGGGGCTCTGGCCGGCCCTGGGTATACCCGATGGCTATCAAAAATTGGGCAAGGCACACCCTGAATCTTGAGACTTGGAGTCGAGGCTCGGCAGGGCCAGGCTCATTTTAAGAGGAGGCAGAGAGGGGATAAACAATTCTTTATTTCCAAATCACGTGTATGAGACCATATATAAGGGCTATAAGGGCTAACTTGGGTGTTGAAACAACTATGAGAGCCTATTTGTAAAAGAAGAAAACAACCGCTAAGCAAACAAAACGTTTATGTCCAAACTTCACGGGTCTGAGAGCCTATACAAGAGCTATAAGGTTGAACTGGTGAAGTGAAAAGGATAGGGAAGGGATAGGATAACAACTTTTTTAAAGGGATAACAATCTTTTTGATCAAATTGGCATGTCTGAAATAAGATATAAGACCTATGAGTTAGAAACACAAAGAACCAAGATTACAAATAAAACAAAGTGCTTACTTATTTTAACAATACTTTGTTCCGGCTCTTGAGACACACTTGAGCCTTGAGATTGGCAGGAGTGAATGATGCACAATGGTTGCTCATGACACTCAAAGCGTTTGAAAACAAGCTCTCAGATGGAGAGCTGGAAGCAGGAACCGCAAGCATTGCAAGCACCATGTGGGTTAAGTTGGGCCAGTGACATTGGTAGCTTTTCCAGTAGTGGAGAGGATCACAAAACTCATCTTCTTGAGGTGTGGTCAAGTATTCTTTGACCTCGTGTTCAATCGGAACACGCTTGCAACGCTTAATAAAATGATTAGGTCGATCAGGATCAAGATTGTCTTGAGGTTCAACAAACTCGATATTGGAGTCAGGAGCCGGTACAAAGTGTCTGGCCTTGTTAGTAAAGTAGTCAACCAAGTATTCATGTGTCCAACCAAGAGACTGCATAGTTTGGGCTTTGACAGTGGTCACCTTGAGACGAGGATCAAGGATGGAAGAACAGATGTAGACTGCCTTATTTTGGGCAGCGTGTTGATATTGGATGATTTTCTTCATCATCGGCATAATAGCAACTTTCAATTCCTGGGAATGAGAGTCGTTCCAGGCCTAAATGGTTCATATGACACAAATCAGTAAGCTGGTATTTGGAAAAAAAAGATAAACACAAAACAGTAGAGAGGATAGAAAAAACTTACCCCTTCAAATCAATTCACTAGCCATTGGTAGTCTGGCATGACACGAGAAAAAGTAGGGTATTGATGACCTTCAATATTTATAGTGACATGATCTGAAGGCGCTAAGAAATGAACAATTGATTCCACCAACTCCCACTCGTCATTGCTGAGTTTGTAAGCTTCAAGAGATGGGTCACAATTGAATTGATACTCTAATACCACTCTAAGCTCAGAGAATTGTTTGAGTGAAGCATGAGTTGAGGACCACCGGGTTGAAACTTTGTGGACTAGACCGACTTTGTGTTTTAACATTGTACAGCCCTTGATAGCGTTGTTGAGGGCGGACTTAAGTTGACTGCTGTGCTTGATTTTCTTGTGAAAAGATTGGATTTGGGTCAGAATGTTGGATTTATTTGTGCTTCAAATGTCTTACTACATATTTAATGTATTTCTCATAAATGTATTTCTGATCTTGTCCATTTTTGTTGTTCTCAATTATGACTACATTACATCATATAGCCCAATTAGGAACATTACGTCAATGGTGTTGTGACGTCATTCATTATAATTTCATTTTTGTATTTTCTTTATAACCTGATGTTGAACACCAGTCTGATGTTTTCTTTTCTCATCTGACTGTTTCTTTACAAAATCTTATCATAAGATTTTCGTGTCTGTTTCTTCTTCATCTTATACTAAGATTTTGTTTTTGTGTTTGGATTCAGGTAATAAAGAATTTGATCTGACTGTTTCTTTACAAAATCTTATTATACGATTTTCGTGTCCGTTTCTTCTTCATCTTATACTAAGATTTTGTTTTTGTGTTTGGATTCAGTCCAACACAGAACACTTCCTATCTCAGTATGAGATGTTACCTCAATGAACAAGGGAATCAAAGGTTGTGGGATGCTGGGATCAAGTGCGTTGATTGGAGCAGGAGCAGTCTTTAGATCAAATACTGCCATTCCTGCCTTTGCTACAAGGTTAATGACATGGGCCACACATCCATGGAGATGTTGGGAAGAATCAAAATGAGGGATCATTGTCAAAAGGCATTGGCCCATTGTAGTGTTGTTTGACGCGTTATCAGCCGTGACACAATAAAGCCGTTCAGTGATGTAAAACTGATCAAGAATATGCTTTAGAAGGGTAGCGAGGTTAGAGCCAGTATGAGGGCCTTTCATTACCCTCAAAGCTAGAGTGATTCCGTGAATGTTGAAGTCGTCTTCGGAAATCCAGTGTGCAGTCACGCCTAGCATTGTGGTATTGGAAGGTGAAGTCCATCCATCGCAGGTTATGCTGATGTGTTTGACGGAAGAAAGAATGCTGACAATGGCGTTACGAGTTGAGCAATAGGATTCCAGAATGCCATCAGAGATACAAGTACACTTCGATAATAATGGGAGGGCTTGTGGGTTGACCATTGTGATGAGCTCGCGGAAATTGACAGCATCCACTAAGGTGATTGGAATCTCTCGGTTGACTACTAATTGAACTAGAAGATCCTTCAGATTTGCTCTGTTGAGTTTTCAGACCTATGTTTCAAAAAGATTAACAAATACCAATGTTTAATTAGTCAATGTCAACCATTAAACTTTGATTGATGAAAATGAAACAGCACTTACCTTTGAATCTTTGCGTCAACAAAAAATGCAGCCATAGTATGTTGCTTGGTTGCAACTGGTGGTTCAATATGGTGACATCTGGATAAATGGCGTATCATAGATTTAGTGCTGGCGTGTTTGTCCAAAGCAAGGGGTTTGTTGCATATTGCAGCTGGTGTTTTGGGGTCTTTGACAGCGGAAGAGTTCACCTGTGCGCCTCAGATCCTTCGGCACTTAGTCGACCATACAGATGTACTGTACGGTCGGCTACGAGCCCCAATGGTATACGCAGACGTCTGCAGACTCAGCAGATGTCCCACTTCTAGCACTCCTAGAAGAAAACCGCTCTAGTATCCTCTATTTCAGCTAAAAACAGTACATTTCCTCAAGTTTTGTGCCTTTAACGCTGCAGGATGACTAATGCCGTTTACATCATCTTTCAACGGTCTGAAAGTACATGGTGCAGACAGATCTGCATCTGTATAGTTGAATTACAGACACATCTTACACTACACCGACACAACTACACAGATCTGTCCGCATCGCTCCAGACAGATCTGGCCCTCTCAGCCTGCCAAGTCAAAGAACGCAGACAGATCTGCGTCTTTATACAGACGGATCTGGCACTCTAAGAAACAACCAGATGGATCTGGATCATGTATCTCCATAGCCAGACACATCTGTGTAGTCAGATGGTTCCGGCTCTAATCACCGTTCCCCCTAGATATGATTACGAATCTTCAAACCACAACCCGGCATGAACTTTCAAAGATTTGGAAATCTTTGATGTTAGTCGAATCGAGTCTTTGGGTACATACTTGATCTTACTTCCTCAATGATATACATATTGACCTGTGTCGTCCTTCACAATTACTAAACAGAAGTTTGATACACTTTGAGATCCTACAAGATCTATCTGATCTCATCGAGCTTTTCTCCAGGTTGACTAATGACTCGAAAATGCTGATTCAAACCATTAGTACCCTGATGCGATTTGTCAACTTGAGCACAGTAAATTTTCACAACACTAAACACAACCAGGTGAGATGTGGTCATTCGGAGGATTGAGCCCAAATACACACTTCCAAAAGGCTTGCAAACTTACAAAAGTCAAAGTCTGATGTGATCTCATCTCAGAAAACGAGCACGTGTGTCTCGGTTGAAGTTGAATAGATGTGATCAATACAATTCACACAACTGATTAAACTCCTATGTATAACTTTCAAGATCATGACACGCTACATTTTGCAGATTTTTCAACATCAAAAGCAAAAGACATTGCTTTGGTTAGTGAGTTGAAGTGGTAATTAACCTTACTCAGATCTCACTGCATAGGATCCTCGCGGTGTCATTATAATCCGTGTTCATCACAAGGATCAATTCTCACAAATACATATCAGATGAGTGTGCTTGCAACAACTCGGAAGCTAAAATACTATCATGTATTTCACAAAATACAACGTTGAACTAATTGATCTTATGTTAGATAATTGTCAAGAAATCTTCAGTTGACAAGATACAGTAAAGTAGACTGTCTTGTGTCATAGAATTTGAAGCGATTTAATTTGATATAGATAAACTGATTTAGAGTCCCCATTTAAGACATCCCACAACCTGCATTCCCATTAGTAGACGAGTTTGTAGATTCATTGTTGCCACCAGCTGAGTTATTACCAGTGTTAACTTCATTGTTACCGCCAGCTGAGTTATTACCATTGTTAGACGAGTCTGTAGATTCAGTGTTATCACCAGGGTTAGACGGTACAGGAGTTGCTTGTGGGACCTGCTTCACAATCTTGAACTTCCCATTGGTGAAGTCTTCAATCCAATGGCGTCGACCCAAAGTCTTCATCCCATCAAAGCCACGTATGAATTCGTCGTCGGTCATTGCTGAATCGGGACTACGCTCAAAGTTGACATTGATCTTGTTCTTCTTGAATGCGGCCACCGGATCAGGGCCTCGAGGAATTCCGTTTGGTGGCGCATGACCCAGCGCGTTCACTTCCCAAGGAAGCAGTTGTATCATATCAGTCAATAGGCTGTTCAGAATAGAGATAAAATGAGAAAAAACGACTGCTCACCTATGTTTAGAGAGATCAGCTCTGTGAGCTGAGCCTTCTCAAGATCACACTTGTTTACGCGGCGTCGCTTTTGGACATCTGACTCAGCGTCCTCTTCAGCAGCCGCGGCGTCCACGTCCTCGATAGTGTCCAACTTCGATTGAGAGTAGATTGGGAATATTGCCTGGAAGTTGTGACGCCGCTTCAACCACTTACTAATCTCAGGCCGAGTAGTTGCCTCTTCACACCAGCCAGGACCAAGAGTTTTGCTGGAGGCGATGATGTAAAAATCGAAGTTTGTTAAGATGGCCTCCTGGTTTAGCTACATAATACAAGCAGCAAGGGGTGAAACAAAGCGAATGAAGTCAGAATGTATTATATTCTGACGCAATATCTTTGAATATCAAGGAGGATGAGACAACGAGAAAGGGAACTACGGACCTGATGTGCTCTTTTTTTGAAAGCTTGTAACGATCGTTGCTCCATTTGGCCAGCCGAAGGAGCTTTGTTATGCTCGCGGTCTTTGGCCACCTTGGTTGTGTCAACAAGATCATCATAAAGTGGTCGGAAACGTTGTTCTTCTTCTTCGGTAAGCTTGGGCACCTCAGGTATGAGTACTTCGAAATCGCCAGAGGTCTGATGATCAGCAACTCGGATTGCCGAATAATCCGGATAGCCTCCTAAAGCAAAGAAGATTCGGGACGAGAAGACCAGATTCTCATCGTCAGTTAAAGCTTCGTATGCCCGACGATTGGCTGAGTTCCTTCTGCTCAGAATTTCACTAGCATTGGGATCGTTTCGTGCAGGCACTATAGGACACATAAGAAGTGTCAGTGTGATAAGAGTAATTAGGAGGATAAATGAAAATATACATACTTGCTATAGTGTTGGCAGCTTTGGCAAAGGAAAGGAAACGAAGCCACGGATTTCCCTCCCGACTGCCATTAAGAATTCCACTAGACCATGGTAAAGGTTGTCAATAAAAAGTTGTTTAGAGATAAGTAATTTAAAGAAATCAAATTACTTACACCTTGCGTTTCAAAGTGTCAACACTAACTTCACCAACCATGGCAAGCATGTTGATGCTATGAATAAAAGCCGTGTAAAGGGCGGTTGCCTCGGCAACAATCAGGGGACTCGGTTTACTGTTGTTAATGGGGGATTGCCTGGCGAGTTGTTCCTCAATGCGCGGTAAAGGCCAGAATTGCTTCTGTAGATTGTAGTTGTGAACGGTGACTTTGTGAAGTTCAAGCTCGGCAGTGGCTGGTTGGGGATCAATTGTGCGAGTAGGCTGGGTAAGAGGTGGAGATGGTGGTCGAATATCATCAGGGCGAGGTTGCGAGTTGACACGGTGACGTTTGGTTTGATTGGTTTTCTTAGGTCGATTGTTGAATTCCGCTTGCACTTGAGCTTGAGCTTGGCCTCTGGTGGTCCGACGCATGGCAAATGGGGGATTAGTGAAAAGGCTATATGATATGAATTAGGGATGTGGATATGAAGCTAAGAACAATGTAGAAAGAAGATGTGTCTGGCCTGAGGGGTAAGTCCGATGACTATGGCCATTGGACCAGACGGATTTTACTGCGCAGCCAGATACAGACCTATCTGCTTCTCCGACATTTGGACCTATAGAGTGAGTCTGGTTCTGTATCTGAAATCCATCTGGGTTTGTTTCAAGAACATTGAATCCCACCATGTATATGCTGAGCCTAGTGTAGTGGGTTGTGCGAGCAGTGGAGCATGGTGTTGGTCTGATGGTGCTGCAGGTGCTTTGTGTTCAAATCCCCTCGGAGACATTTTTGAACAACTGTTAGTTTCTAGCCAACTTGATTGGTTTTTTTTGTTTCATGTTGAGATAAATTTGCAATAGATAATATATGTGAGTATATTGCTCACAAATTTCACAATTTATCATATGATCCTATTGCAGTACCCAATGCTCATGAGAGCAAATCTTTCCATTGTCTTTGAAGCAACCAAAAAAGTCAATTAGTCAGGTATGTGATTTTACGGAGTGCTTATGAAACTTTGTTTGGCAGTTTTTTCATGAACAAGCGGTGGGATTTTTATTCCTATAGGGTGATAGTGAACCTATTATATGTCTTTACACCAGAATATTTCTCATAGTTGGACCTAGGATCCAATGGAGTGAGCAATTCCATCAAATAGTACAGTTTGTAATTTTACGGAGTGCATATGAAACTATGGCAGTTTTTGACATACACTAGAAGTTGAACCAGATTTTCAATTCTGTAAAGTGGTAGTAAGAACTATTGTATTGTATTACAACAAATCATATCTTAAATTTGTACTTCAGGGCAAATCAAATGATAAAAATCAACAAATAGTACTGTATCTGATGTTACGGAGTGCTTATAAAACATTTGCAGTTTTTGACATCAACTGAAAGTTGAACCTGTTTTATATTTCTATATAAATATTTTAGGAACTATTGGATCACATTGCATCAAATGGTAGCTTACAGTGGCACTTTGGGGCCACTTAAGTGGAACAAAATCAACAAATAGTACTGTGTGTGTTTTTACGGAGTGCTTATGAAACTTTGGCATTTCTCGACATAAAATGACAACTTAACATGTTTTATATTTCTATAACATTGTAGGAGAAACTATTTTATTGCATTACAACAAATGTTATCTTACAGTAATACTTAGGGACTATAGGAGTGATAAATGGCACGTTTAGGGAGAGGCGGAGCTCCAATGAAACTTGGTCAATTTTCAAGATGAATCAAAATTTGAACTGGAATCATCTTTGGATAGCATGGTGCTAAAAAGTGATCAGGAGTTTGAATCTTCTTTTTTCATAAGTTTTTTTTTGGTGCAGGTGACACAGCATATCATATACTTGGTATGGTGTTAATTCAGTATTTCACCATTGGGAATTACCTTGACTCTGATCTTGGCTATATATGACAAGGTTGACAAAGCTTTTTTTGGAAGGTGTGCTCTTTGTGTGTTCAAAATTAAAAGCCATTCAGTCATTGGGACACACAGTCAGCAAGTAATGGTTTGTAACAATTGCTTGATTTCCTATCAAAACATGCAAGCTCAAGTTTGGAGAGATATGAATGACTTTTCCAATTAATTGTTATTCATTATTTCCAATTAATCAACCCTCAATACCCATGTGATTGAGGCAGCTAAGCAAATTGATGAACACAGATTCAGGTTTTCGAAGTACGGGTATTGGGACCCTTACTTTGAATGTAAAGGACATTACACATATTTGAGCCTAAGGAAAGCACACATATCATTAGCTATTCAGCGCGTATAGCAATTATACCAAGCTGAGCATATCTTCTGCTGACTGTTATTAACGGAACATTTGATTTTCTTCGTGCAATGCATGAACAGTTTGATTGAAATAGATGAGATAGCATTGTGGGTTGCTTTGAACCCACAATGTGACACCTATTGAAGTGCTGAAATAGATGAGATAGCATTGTGGGTTCAAAGCAACCCACAATGTGACACCTATTGAAGTGCTGATAGTGCAAAGTGACAGATTGATCAGACAAACTACTCTAATGAAGTTCATATATAAAACAAAATGAAAATGAAATGAACAACTTAAGAAGTGTCCCCCAAATTGATAGAAGAAGGATGTCCCCCCCCTACGGACAGTGGAAAATTTGCCCCTTTTTTGAATCTTCAAACCACCATCTACACATCCTTCACCCCGGTCCCAAAGTAGCTGGAATCCCTGCGATTGTACCATTTTCACCGTTGAGGAAACCACAACATGCCAACTTCGTCAAAGTCAATTAAGCTCCCTCAAGCTCGGCAAAAGAAGAAAGCCAAGTTACACACCGAAGCATCTCAAACAAAAGAACGGCTTGAACAAGCAGCCCACCTGTGGTGTGAACGCAAATTCGACAAACTCCATCGTGATCACCTTGCTAAGAACAATCCCCCTCCTCCTAACCCCCCCAATCAACTTGCTGCGGTCGAAAACCCCAACGAAAACGAACCAATTGTTGCAAATGACCTGAACCCAGATGACGTAAATATCACCAACAAAAGAGAAGACAAGGTCCCTCAAGAAGACAATCAACATGCACGTAACATGGGTGAGTTTGTAGCAGCCCCTGCTTACTCGAGACAAAGAGTAAGAGAGGAACGTGCTTGGGAGCGAAACATGCGTTCGATGTTCATCACCTGGATGCGATGCTCAAGCCTGACTTCTCAATGGGGGCACAAAGCAAATTGGGATCGGAATCATTTTGAAAATGAATCGTGTTACTGTCCGGGGAGTACTAAAGTCAAGCGCCAAGTGGATCTAGTGGACCTTTGTGGTAATCAATACCTCACTTTTGATCACATTTCATCATTTCATTGCTTACATGACCAACCAAATATATCAGGTCGCGAACAGAGGGAGATAGAATTTTGTAGTTGTACACCTGATCAGGTTCGACTTATTGCCCAGGGTTATCTCGGAGGCTCCCCAACCCACCCTTGAACAGCCTTCTCTCTCAGATTACTGCGAGCGTACCACATCTTATGGAAATACAAACCAATCGGAATCCAGCCCTTTGCTTTGGCCATTGACGAAATATTAGATGCCTTTAGTGCTGTGATAATGGTTAAAGGTACAAACCAGGTGTGTCCAAGTTTTTTACGAATCGTTTAATCAATTTCGATTTTGTTTTGATGAACCAATTTTGAGTTTGTTTTGATTATTTAATTTTGTTTTCTATCCATTTCTCTTATACTTATCCCCAACACAGCCTCGACGATGGAGAAAACCTCTATCTTGCGCTGTTCACGCCTACAGACAACTTTTGAAGATGCATGAGGAGTTGAAAACGCAAGCACTTGAAATGAAACCGATTGAATCACTGGCAAGCATCTGTCCACGCTGCTTTGGACCCGGCGAACGATCCAAACGAGAAGCAGAGCCTGATTCGATAGTGTGCATGGATGCGAACTTTCAGCAAAGAAGACATGCGGCTGCAAGTCGAGAATCAAATGATATCGCACCAAAAATGCCTTCCTTGTTTCTCAGCGACGAATATGTTCAACTGTGGGCTGACCGAGCCGCTGCCAGGGGACAGGTAGATGAACATGTAGTGCGTCCACTTGATATCAAATGTGTAGAGCTTTTTGTTGTACATTAGAGCACTAACATTGTTTTTCAAACAGGATCCGTACACCCAGCAGCACACTGCTGCTGCAGACACCCGAACTGGCCAAACGTGGCGAGCATGCGACGAAACTGGTTTGATGGCATTGATATGTAGGCATGACCAATGTCTGTCATACATCAATATTGTGAGGAGCGGCGAGAAGTATGTGACAAATAGAAGTGGCACAATCGGCCGGTATCAATCTGACATGATCTATATTTTGATTCCAGGTCTTACTTTGCACATGCCTTGCTAGGCTCTATAGTAGATTGTACAAAAGAGCCAGATCAGCCTCTGTGGCGCTTTGGGGTATTGTATGACATTGGTTGCACCCTGGAAAAGGGTATCAAGAGGGTGAGACTCTCGTGTATTTGCTGAATGAGACTGCCAGAAGATGACAATTTTCATCTGGACTATACACAGCACAATCTCTTTGTTGATGAGCGTGCCAATGCTCAATTCAAGTTTGGTACCAGCGCTTTCCACGCTTCTGTCCATCGGTGGGGCTGTCAGCTTGAATACAATCCCCGACTCAACCTTGGTTGGGGTTTATCAGATGGCGAAGGGTGCGAAAGGAACTGGTCGTTCCAATCATTCCTTGTTTCTCAGCTTCGATTTGCTACCAAACAAACCCGAGCTGACGCATTGCACTTGCGAGCCGGTCATAAAAACAGTCTTGGTCTCACAAATGCGGGTATGTGATTACTCTGTTGTGTAATACACCTCAAAAGCTCATCATGTTCTATATGACAGCTTGCCTGATGTCTAAGAAATTCGATGAGGTTTTGAGGGATAAGCGTGAAACACAAGCAAAACTTACCAAACTAGAAGCATCTCACCAACTTAACGTCGAATACTTTGCACAACAGTGGGAAAGGCAGCGTACTTGCCAGCTTCAATTGATGGCGATCACTAACATTCAACAGCTTGAAAATCGATTAGGCCGGCTAATTGAACTTGAGGAGAATTTTCGAGAGGCCCAGTGTGTTCAAATATTTGTCATCTGTTCCTATCCGTTCCCAACACACTGATACACAAGTATCATGTTTTCGGATTTTTCAATACAGCGCTCGACTTGCTTTCCTACGAGGACAGCGGCGGCGCACATTGTCAGAAGCTGAACATGCTGAGCTGGCTGCTTTACCAGCTTCGGTTGTGGCTTTTGAGCATGCAATCGACGACATCGTTGCTGAATTGGGGGGAGAGGAGTTTCGGGACATGGCTGAGGTTAGGCGTGCGTGGATCACACTGCACTGTACTGGAAGTTTTTTCACTGCAAACTCACACAC